TGGTTCTAGGATAAAAATTAACATGGGGTAGGACTGGAATTAAGTCTTTTGCTACTGGCATTCTTACCTCATTAGGTGTGAACAAAGACTATTTTAGAAATGTTTTATTATATTTCTTGTTTATATAGTGTATTAAAACATGCCTTGTTTACTTACACTTTTCTGCTTTTCTTCCCCCTTTGCTGTATTTGCATTTCTTGCTTGAGCTGTGCTGGCTACTTTGAAAAAAAACCATATTTCTTGTATTTTTTTGCTTTAAAATATGTTTTGCTTGATCAAAATGTTACACTTTATTTTCTATCCAAATGATTCAAAAATTATATGAATGGAAAAACCCAGTCAGGTAGGCCCTGGACATTTTTACCAAGCTGACTGTGTTTGCAGTAGGGCTTGAAAAAGACAACTGGCTTTTTTACTGGACTGCAGTTTAGAGATGAGGTTGAAGGCATTAATTAAATAATTTGAAGGTAAACCTTGTTTCAAACAGATCTAAGGAAACAGAAGCTCAGTCTATGTGTAGGGGAAGAGACCTACTTTTGAAAGAACTAGTTGTTTTTTCAAGGAATAAAAATATGTTGCCCAGTGTTACCTGTTAGGAAAAGACTCAAGAAAGAAGCCAATTGTCATTTTGATTTATGTATGTTATAGGCAAAAATGCAATTTTCTGTACACACTTTTGGTTACATAAAACTGTGCTAAAAAGGTCTTCAAGTCAGTTGCTCTATTGTTAGATCAGATATCACCTCTCTAACATCACTAATGTTTGAATTTTGAGACCAATTTTGAAGTGAGGACACAGTGCATTAGATTGCTGCATGAGAACAGAGGGTCCTATGTTCTATACAATGAAGCGTTAAAAGGCCTTTTGTGTTTTTATTTAAAAAAGTGTACTTTATATAAATTCTGTAGTGCAATATCTTCCTACATCATGTTACATTCTTTGTTATATGCTTCCTCTGTAAACAGCTTTCCTGTATGAACTTCCTTTGCAGTTTGTGCGATATATTATTCCCCCCCCCCAGATTTGGATTAATGTGACTGTTTACTCAAAAATTGTTCTGATTACTCTGTGAACGTCTTTTAAATGTGTACATTTGGTTTCATTATTGAAAAGGAATTAAACCTTTGATTAAGGATTCTGCAGTTAGTATAAAATATAAAAAATAGATTGATTGCAAAGCTATCTCCCTGAACAATCTTCATTTTCCAGTGATACGAAGAGTCAGACCCCTTTCAGGTGCACAGGGGAGCCACATCATCCTAAGACTCCTTAAGTTGTTTTGATATTCCACAACTGTTGGAGACTGACTCCGGAACTCAAAAACAAACCTTCCTTTACTGTGGTGAATGGGTACTAAGTCTGAAATGGCTTCAAAGTTTTAGAAAAACAGAAAAATATACTCAGGTAATTTTGCATAATTTTCTAAATAGCAATTCGTGATGAATGAAGTGATCCTGGACTGCGCTTCTTACACCTGCTGTACTGGAATGAAAGCTAGGCCAAGTCCTGCAATTGCTCAAGTAAATGTTTTAATTGGGAATTATACATGAGCTAGGTATTCAGGACTGGATACCGTGTATGCAGTCAAGACTGGAAAAACCAAATATCTAAACCTGTGCTTCTGGAAATAATATTCAGCATTGTCAAAAGTATATAATGAAATTATACCAAAAGCACTTGTAAATCTTGATCCTTTTGCTTCCAAGGTTTAAAAAAAATACATCATCTGTTAATAAAGAGAATTGCATTTCTTTTGCTTGTACCATTTCAAAATAAATGTGCTTCTCTGAAGACATTTAAAATATGGCAGTCAATAAGGGTCTGGTCTTTGCATCGGGTTTATATAGTGAAAGCTCCTGTTTGTTTTCATCAAGAGAGAGAGACTCTTGCCATCCTCATTTGTATTTCAGTCAGTCCCTTTTTCCATCAGACTCCCATTGGTTTCAGGGGAAATTCATCTGCACAAGGATTGAGGCTTTGATTTTACCACTATTGAATTTTTAATTATTTTAATAGGGCAGAATCAGGTTTGCATAAAGTTTAGCTCAGGAGAGCTTAAGGAATCAAATGTCTGCTCCTGCAATACGTTCCCTATGGCTGGACTCCTCCCTTTCCACCAAGTGGCACAGATCTGAAGGGGCTTTTTCCAAAGCGTAAGGGTCACCTGGGAGAAAAAGCACACAGAAGGAACACGACACAGACCTCAGTCTTGCCAGAACAACATCATTATCTTGAATGGGATCTTTCTGTGGATCCAGAGCATGGGATCAGGTCCCACTGGGACTTAATTTGGTCTTCATTAGTTCACTAGGATGTAAAGGCAGATCAAACAGGCCCATGTGATTTCATAAAACTGCACATAGAAAATACAGACCAACACTTTAGGCATATAAAAATTGACTGGCATTTAGTTTTAGTCACTGAAAATATCTAGGAACTAAAAAATAAATATAGAAGATTAATGACTATAAAATACTCAAGAGCTAAGTTTTGGAACAGTGAGACACAACATGATTGAAAAATGTTAAGCAGAATGCCATATAAATAGGTGAAGCTGAATGCAGCAACAAGTTGCAATGAACTGCAACTAAGGACAAAAAAAAATTAATTTCTATTTTGAGAATTAATGACCAGACATTGTTTGGAAAAAAATAACGTTATAGTCCCAGTTTTTCAAATGACTGAAGAGACACCTCAACATTATCTTTTTATGGAAATACAGGAAACTTTTTTATTTTTTTTTTAACCCAAAGGATTGTGCTGCGCTCATTGTTTGGTCAGCCACCAGAATCCATATTTTGGGGCTTTTCAAACTTGCCTCTCTTCCACGGGCCAGACTTGAGTGAGGTCTGTGGCATCAGCCCAGCCATTTCAAGCAGGGGGCAATGTTACAGCAAAAATGCTTGCTCTTTTACATTAAATGCATTAGGTGCCTGACTTTTACTCATTTAAGTGGCAGAAAATGACACATAAGTAAAGATTAACCTAGGTCCACTACGGGAGGTAGAAGCCTGCTGTAACAAACCACGCATTGGTTGGTCTAAAGTGATTTTAAGGTTTCCATTCTTGCTGTCTCCGTGTCTTTGCAATGCCTGCTGTTACAGCACTGACCTGGAAGAAGCATTCTCCCCCTTCTGTGCATGGGGAAGTGAGAAGCCCCATCTCTGGCAACAAGCCCATGGAACTGATGCTACAATTTCTAAACACCTCCTGAGAATTTAACTGCTGGACCCTCTGGCTTTTAGCTTTGAGGCTGGACTGCTGCTCTTACAAAACTGTTGTAAGGGAGTATCCAATTTCAGCAGAAATCAGAGAACAGCAAAAAAAACCCCTGTATTTTGTTTTCCTGAAAAAAAAAAAAAAAAGAAAATTTTGTAGCACATTCCTGTGTAGCTGCATACTTTTGCTTATGATTAGCATTAATGAACTGAATAAACTTTATGACTGAGGGAATTAAAGCAATTTATAGGCTTCTTTATAGTATAGCATAGGAAGCTATTGGTGCTGGATAAAAAAATAATAGCTTTTTTCAGACAGTGGTTAGATGGGTACTTTGTAATGAAGGCTTTGGTTCAACATCTTTCTTTTACAAAGCTGGAGAATATCAGAGAAACCAAAGATGCTTTGGCAGTTGCCAGTGGAATGACTGACATTTCCCTTTACTTAAATATAGGGGAAAGCCTATACTCGGCTTTTGGAACAGCCATGGGAGGATGGGTTGAGGCAAAGTTAGTGAGTCAGGTGATAACCTTCTGTCAGTCCAAATGATTGAACTGAAAAACACAGACAAGCTTCGGGGCATGGAAGACCTGTGGCAAGTCACATGTATTTGAAGCCTGTTTTTTCCAGCTATATGATTTGTGATAACAGAAGGTACTACTACCCCCTACAAAGCTTGTCTCTTATGTCCTTACACCGTAACGGCTTCAACAACGTTGCCATTATTGAAATATGGGCACTGCACGTAAAGAAAAGGGAAAGAGAGCTCAGAGATCATGTAGAAGGAAATACTGTTAAATCAAAGGAAAAAAGGATGTGAGTAATATTTTTTTTAATACCAAGTTACAAGAAATATTCAAAGAGATTGAGAACTTTTGGATATGTCTATATAGCCATTTGGCACTATTTATTGCCACAGAAATAACTATTTTTTTTATTTTAAAATGGAACATATTTTTTCTTAGTTATGAAATGTTGGCAGTTTTCTATAAAAATATCAAATGCTTCAAGTTCTGGTCATTAAATCTTTGCTTTTCCTCACAGGATCGTTAATTAAACTGACAAATGCAATAACTAAAGTTATGCAAATAAAAAAATCATGATTTACAGCACAGATAAACTGAAATACTGTAGTCCTTAATTAACAGATATACGCATGAGCTTTTTAACAGAAAGCAAGATACGTGAGATGCTTTAAGTAGAAGTTGCAATTTTGCAACATAAGTCTGTACAAAACCTCCAGGCAGCACGCTGTGAAGGAAGTACCTGTGTCCCAGGAAATGCTTTTTCCATAAATCCTTGTTAACAGTAGCTTTCCCCCCAACCCCAAACTATTTACAAATATATGCATTTTGCAAGCTCAAAGCACCTTGTTTCATATCTTTATGAATGCATGCATTGACATTTCATCCTTTCATGTGCAAATTCTAAAATTCATTGTAACCAAGAAAACAAAAAAAGTTAAAAGAGTTCAAAATCTGTCTACAATCATAAGTGAAAGGATCAAAAATGTCAGATGTTGCAGAACACTAGCTCCTAACAGAGCTCTCTTTATTTTATTCACTGTTCTCGAGTCATTTTTTTCCTGTTTTTTTTCAGTTTGTTACAAAAAGCAGTCTTTTTTTTTTTAAATTAAACAGTATTTAAACTAAACAACTCTTCATGCCATGCAAAAATAACATTTTATGCATTTTTTTTTTTTGAGGCTTTCCATGTTTTAGTTCATAGGCATTACTAACTGTGTTTTAAGAAAAGGTATTTTTATTGCTTTTGTAACTAGTCACATGCTAGTTTCACGTGTGGGACAGTAACCAGTTTCTCCTGGACTTGAATGAATTTCTGGGGCAAATAAATGGTTTTCCATTTTGTGACCTTCTTGGTTACTGTCTTGCTTTACCTCACCCACAGCATGGTAAATGTCTTGAGTACAGTTGTGACTCATGCTTTTGGGTGAAGAGCTGACCTGTGGCTCCTCTGTTAAATGGTTGCCATCACTGTGTTTATCCCCACAGCAATTTGTCTTGATATCCTGTTGTTTTTCATGTTTTATACCATGTAACTCCATAAACTCTTCTTCTTCTCCAGTGTCTACTTCAGTGAAGCTCCTCCTCTCTTTGGAAGGGAAAGAGAAAATCTTCTGTTTGGGAAAGAGAGGGGATGATTTTTTAGCAGGTCCCTGACAAAGGGCTGATGCATCAGCACCAAGTAAAGGTCGCTCACCTTGGGGTGAGTTTTCTTCTAGGAGAATGGTGCTGATGTGCTGCGGGGTAGCCTGTGTGAAGTCTGCTCCTGCCATTACTGGCAGTGGCCTTGCAGTGCTCGGTGGAGTTTGTGGAGCACCACCTCTATTGTCTTTAAAATTAACTTTAAGGGATCTAGATTTTAATGGGTTGCTACCTTTCAGGGAACTTTTGGGGCTTTCCATGGCAGTGTCAAAATGCAAATGACCATGCAAACCAGTTTGGGACCCACTGCCATCACTGATAACAGCTCTGTCGATTGGATTATAGTCAAAGGTGACATCGGTTGGAGAAAACATTCTGTCTTTTGTGAATGGTATAAACTGAGAACTCCTTACTCTTTGGTTGTCTTCCAGGTTAACAGCATCAGCTGGAAATCTCATCTGCAAGTGAGAGCCAGGAAACAGAGAAAGGGGAGACCTCTCTGTTTCCGTGAAGTCAGTTGCACAACTGGCAAAACTGTCGATACTGGATGTGCTTCTCATGTCTGTTATGATGTCCGTAGGTCCAGTTGGCAATGGATCTCTCTGACCAGTAACTTCTTCCATTTCAATTTCTTCTTCATACATGGGTGGCTTTGCTGACTGGTCTTGGTAACCAGCATTAAGATTAGGCTGAGACTGAGTTTTAGTAATTTCATTATACAACATCTCCAGTTTTTGGGCACTGAGGTGCTGCGGGCTGGAGGATGCTGCAGCATTGTTTAATTGCTCGCGGGAGTCTTGTTGACTAACTTCTTGGTAAGACTTGTTTGAGCTTGTTTCGGACATTGTCCTTCTGGCCCATTTCCACCGGCTTGGGGACAGGTGGTTGTCATCAGGTGTCTCCTTTGGATTGGCTGCTTCTCCAGGCTTACCTGAATCTACTGCTACATCTATCATTTCCATACTGCGAGCAAAGGCATCTTTCAGGTTCATGGAGACAATACTGCCATTTCTTTTAGCTCGCTCAAGTGCTTCTCTTCTCTTAATTGCCTTCTCCTGTCTTTTTTGCTCCTTATAAAACTCTGAGAAATTGTTCACAATAATTGGTATGGGCAGGGCTATGACTAGGACTCCAGCAATACAGCAAAGTCCTCCAACTATTTTACCTAATAACGTCTTAGGATAAATGTCACCGTATCCTACAGTAGTCATGGTGATTGTTGCCCACCAGAATGATGCAGGGATACTGGTAAATTTTGTAGCATCCTCATCCTTTTCAGCAAAGAACACAAGACTCGAAAATATCATTATTCCCATGGCTAAAAATAATATCAACAAGCCCAATTCATTGTAACTGCGCCTGAGTGTAAAACCTAAAGACTGAAGTCCTGTTGAATGTCTGGCGAGCTTAAGAATCCTTAGGATCCTCATGATACGAAATATCTGAACCACACGTCTGACGTTTTGGAACTGCAGGACACTTTTATTGGACTCTGTGAGGAAAATGGTGACATAGTACGGCAAGATGGCCAGTAAGTCAATGACATTTAATGGGCCTTTGAAGAACTTCCACTTATTTGGTGAGGACAGAAAACGCAAAAGGTACTCCATGGTAAACCAAGCAATACACACAGCTTCAACGTGTGCTAGCTGAGGGTTGTCATTTGGCTGCCCAAATTCATCTATTTCTTGAAGCTCTGGTAGTGTGTTAAGAGACAAAGCAATAGTGGACAGTACGATGAACAGAATGGACACAATGGCCAAAATCTGTAAAACAAAATAAACAATGTTTTGGTTAGACTGATACAAGTGTATTTGTCAGGGCTTGCTTAAATCCTTTCAAATGTGCACGTCAAACTCAGAATGGTGGAAGCTGCTTTGGCTGCTGCATTCATTATTTTGTTTTAATGTTTTGATTTTTGCACAGAGAGAAAACATTACACTCACCTTAGACACAATCAAAACCTGATGGTTTTACTGCCTGCAGTAAGCCAATTCATTTCAGAAAGCAAGCCATGACTGGTCTTACCATTTTTTGAAGTACAGTGGGAGGTGATATTTATTATTGCAGGTTACCAAGTGAAGGATATAAAGTTCCTGCTAATGTGCAGAACTTTATTAATTTTCTGCATTAAATGTAATTATGTGAAACTTTACACAGTGTGGAGAAGTGATTGGGAAATACAATGTGTAAGCTGTCAATTTAGTACTACATAGTGCACACCCTCCTAGCCATGTGTAAATTTATGAGCCAAAAGTCAAAGTTAAGAAAAATAAACATGAAGCATTGTTCAGGAGACTAGTCCTGCTGAATTGTTACATCTAGACCAATTTCAGGTGCTAAAAGAATCAAAGGTATTGGCCCTGAATTAGTTTGAGAGCAAGATGTTAAAAAGTAAGCAGTAGTATGAAGGTGAACCCAGGTTCTCATCATGATTAAAATGTGTAAGGAGACAAATACTTCCTAGAAATAATGTTTCAATTTCTGTCTCAGGAGATGATAGGTTTTCTGAAATATTTTATTGTTCATTTTGATAAAGTTCAGGCACCTCTGTACCTCACAGCCTTCCATTTTGCCTGGAATAGCTGGTCATTCTCATTTACAGAACCAGTATTATGAGAAAAGACATGAATCTATCAGAGAACCTAATGGTTTTACTACAACATTTAGTTATTTATACTCAAAGGAATATGGGCAGTTTTGAGATAGCACGTGAAGCATTAAAGTGATGCAAAAATTATTATAATACTTTACTTGGAAGAAATATATTGTTTTGGTTAGAAGTCCTAAGTAAATCCAGGTTTCTATTAGAAATACTAAAATAAATTGTTTTTTATTTTAAAGCTCAGTTTAAACTCATTCCTAAAAGCATTTGCTCTCATTTCTCAGAACTGGTACTGTTAAATCCATTTGGTGATGTTCGGTGTACTTCCAAGGACACACTAATTCTGACAAAATTGCTGTAATACCCAAGAAGAGTGAAATGCAGCTAAGCAGAATGCAGGTGTGATGAGTATATGGGGAGAGATTGGCCACAGTGATGATAACAGCTCCAGAGATGGACAGGCCACCTCCCGCTAACTTTGAGAAAAATAGCAGCAAGCCTGTTTCAGCTAGAGGTTAGTAAGCACAAATTCAGCTCTCTAAGCACAAACTAAAATTGCTCATGGTGTGAGGGTCCGCATTTGGCATCATCTTCTACTTAAGTGCTATCTTTGGCCTTTTCAGCTAATAATAGTACAGAACAGGTAGTACCTTTCATATTTTGAAGTTGTCGTGGTTTAACCCCAGCCAGCAACTAAGCACCACGCAGCTGCTCACTCACTCTCCTCCCACCCAGTGAGATGGGGGAGAAAATCGGGAAAAGAAGTAAAACTCATGGGTTGAGATAAGAATGGTTTAATAGAACAGAAAAGAAGAAACCAATAATGATAATGATAACACTAATAAAATGACAACAGTAGTAATAAAAGGATTGAAATGTACAAATGATGCGCAGGGCAATTGCTCACCACCCGCCGACCCACACCCAGCCAGTCCCCGAGCGGCGAATCCCTGCCCCCCCCTTCCCAGTTCCTAAACTAGATGGGACGTCCCATGGTATGGAATACACCGTTGGCCAGTTTGGGTCAGGTGCCCTGGCTGTGTCCTGTGCCAACTTCTTGTGCCCCTCCAGTTTTCTCGCTGGCTGGGCATGAGAAGCTGAAAAATCCTTGACTTTAGTCTAAACACTACTTAGCAACAACTAACAACATCAGTGTTATCAACATTCTTTGCATACTGAACTCAAAACATAGCACTGTACCAGCTACTCGGAAGACAATTAACTCTATCCCAGCTGAAACCAGGACAGAAGTATTCCAAACAGATTTGTATCTCTCCTTAGCAGTGTGGCTTCTGCCTTTTTTTTTTCTCTCTTTTTTAGCCATATTTATTGGAGGAATAAGATCCATTCATTTCTCCTGCTAAGTGAGTTGTGGACCACGTGTCTGCATCCTTCACACAGCCCATTTGGAAAACATACTCTGGTTAATCTATCCTATTTAGAAGGGCTATACATCCCTTTAAACTTCTACTACCCACAGCAGCAAAAGAAGCCAATCTTAGTAAAGAATGAAGGCAATAGCACTGCATACCTAGGTAGGGCTGATTAATGAAATTTGTGATGGCCCGTAGCTAGGACAGAGGCAGACAAAAGGCAACACTATTACTGGAGAGCAATAACTACCTTTCAAGCTGTGAAAGTTGCCTGCATCAGCTTTCACTGTGAAAAAGTTTGAAGCTTAAATAAGGTATACCAGGTTCTCCACTGAAATCACTATGAAATAACTAATGCATGCTTGAGTTCTCTAACACATTCAATGACATAATTATACTTTCAGAATTCAAAGAACAAATAAACATGGCACAGGTCTGAATTGTTGAGCTTGCAGTGTCTGTCAAACTGATGGCTTCCTCATTGGTGCTGGCATCAGAATGTAAATAACAGCATAGGAAAAAGCTGTGTAATACAAGGACCCAATTACTTGACATGCATTGTTCTTAAAAAAGAAAATCATGAGAACATATCTGCCCAGTTGTCATTAAATTGGTTTTAATTAGGAAACACTGGCGTTTCAGTCTGTCATACACAATTTATTTTATGCCTAAATGTTTATCAATCAGCATACAAAAGATCCTAGAAAAGAGGTGAGTCAATGTGTAGCACCACTTCTTAAACTGTATGACAATGCTAAAACTCCATGCATTTTATAGGTCTTGCACACAAAACTTTCCTGTTCAGAGTTGCCACCTAGGGTGTTTTACTGACAGCAGCCATCTAACTGTTCCAGCCATTCATTCATAGGCTGGTAACATGCAAGCCTGAACTCTGCCAGCTATTTTAATAAAATATACAGAATAGCAGGCCTGGAATTTTTAGTGTTTGTATTTATCATCTATAAGCATAAGTCTGTTCTTGGTGAAAAAATTTACAGCAAACAAAAGTATTTTGTTTTTTTCTAATGTAAGAATCCAAGCTTTTATTTGTCTGGGACTTTGTTGTGTAATTAAAATTGTGCATCATTCCACACACAGTATGTTTTAATTATTGCAATTGATTAGATTTTACAACTTATTAGGCAAAAAATGGCAGGGGATCACTAGGAAGAACAAGAGCAACTATGAGAAAAAAAGAAGAAAAAAAGGGAGTCCCTATTCTGAGTCTACATAAAGAACACTTTGCAGGTAGTATTACGCTGGTAAATCCTCATAGAACAGATGTAGCTTATATTAACAGAAGCACCGAGTTTATAAGAAAGGCCTGTAGCAACCTGCTAGGCTAGCTATGCTGATACAGAAGAGTAAAAAACCCACCACCACTGACTGAATCTTTCCCAGCAAAACTTCCTGTGTTCTGGGCATGTTTCTGGAACTGCATTCTGGACTGAAACACCTGGTAAATTTTGCATACTCCAGGTAATCAATTGTCCTGGTTTTGGCTGGAATAAAATTAATTTTCTTCTTAGTAGCTGGTATAGTGCTGTGTTTTGGGTTTAGGATGAGAATAATGTTGATAACACACTGATGTTTTAGCTGTTGCTAAGCAGTGTTTATACTAAGTCAAGGACTTTTCAGCTTTTCACACTTCACTGCCAGCAGAGGCTGGGAGTGCACAAGAAGCTGGGAGGGGACACAGCAAGGACAGCTGACCCAAACGAGTCAAAGGGTATTCCATATCATATTACGTCGTGCCCAGTATACCAGCTACTAGGAAGACAATTAACTCTATCCCAGCTGAAACCAGGACAAACAGGCCACACTGAAAAAGTTCCAACAAAGAGGCAAGACATTTTGCTACTGATAACAGGGTATGGCCGCTACTGGCTAATGTTCTTTATTAGCATAAGGCCAGGAGACATGAAAAAGGGAGACAAATAGGGACAAACCCTACTTGGATTTGGTCCAGACTGGAATGCAATGGAGTTATGGCAAGCCTTAAGCATGCCAATTCTAGCCAATCTTAATAGTTCTGCAACACTGAAAATTATTTAAGAATAGATGTATTGTATATGTTTGCAAATAATCCTTGTCTTAAGTCATGGAAAAATTAATTGTCAGTTACTAAAATTAGACCTAGGTACCAATTTAAAATGATCCTAAAACTATTACTGAGAAATAAATATCAGCCTCCAGTTGGGTCAGGTACTCTGACCTCAGCCTCCGCTTTGTCATTATTAGAGCTGAGTCAGTACTTTGCAAGAGTGAGGACAGAATTTCATGATACAGTAAGAAAGAAGTTTACATCATTCTGTCATGAAGTCTCAAAACAGACATCCTTCGTAGTTATCTTACAGGGCCTGCAAACCATCATTACAAGTGGAAAATTGCCACTGCTTATGCACATCTACCCTTTCAGAGTACACCTTTCATCTCTTTTTACCTTTCCATAATAACCGCTGATTGCAGACTCCTGGCACAGGTCTAACAGCTCCACAAAGAATACAGTGTTTAATTTTTGAAAAATAAGATGGAGGAGAGGGGAATAATTTAACAGAATAACATAAATTTAGTTCAGCTTACAGCTCTATCACAGTTGCCCTTTCAGGAACACATCTGATAATGGTTCTGACAGTATGTGTAATCACTGAATAGCTTCTCTCTGCTACTCTTGATGTTCTTCCTTGATGACATTATTTAGAATTCTGACCTTTCATTTCCACTTTTTCCTAGATCATTATTATTAATATTTTTAAGGACTCGATTTGAATGTTCTTCATTGAGCTTT